GAAAGGCTGAGAAGCAAATGAAAGAGCTGGATCGGCCCAGAGGTGAGAGGGCGTCATGAAAGCCCCCCCGTTCTCTAAACAAGCTCTGTGGGCACACAATCAAAAGCCACACGTCACAGGGAACATGTGCAGAAACGTCTCCCCTCCTCCTACCGCCAGTCTTACTCCGGGGAGGCACTCCCTACTAAAAGTTTCATGAGCTCCCACTCAGGCGTGTTCTCCCTTAAGTAAATCCATAAATGGCTGCCTGGCCTTTCCTTTGGCCACATGCATGGGGTCCTCGTGGCCACACTCTGCCCTGGCTTCTGTCACTGAATTCATCTCGGGCACCTTTCCCCTCCACTCGGCACGCTCTGGTAGCTGTGTGGTGTCTGCGTGGCTGCCGCCTTCCCTGGAACTTGCTTCCTGTCTTCTCATCACCAGCCGTGACCTCCTGCACCCTGACGCCCCCCACCCCGTGCCTCGCCTGTCTTCAGGACATCCCTGGAGAAGGGCCAGCTGGCTCAAATGATGCACCATGAACCTTGAGAAAAGATGTTGATAAATTTCTTCTATCAAAGAAAGACTGCGGGGCCAGCTGGTGTTGTGATGTTGGGTGCCTGGGTCCCATGTGTCCCGAGCTTGATGGCCTGAGAAGCACGCCGGGTCCATGTGGGTGCGCGCCCATTCAGAACCCGAGGAGAAAGAAGGAGAGGGGGCTGCAGTATGGCCATCGGCCCTGGGGGTGCTTTTTCACTTTCCCTCATTCTCTCCCCTGTAAGAGCGAGCACCCTATAGCAAATACATATTTTAATTTTTAAAAAAAGAAAAAGAAAGACTACAATCAATTTGCTTTCCCAGAAAGGATAGGAGGGGACAGCATGGCCAGATCTACATCTTACAAAGACCGTCCACTCGTTCGCGTAATGAGTGTCTGCTGGGCTCTTGCTCACTCACGTGAGATGCCGGTCATTGTCCTTGACTCTGGGATGTTCCAGCAAGCACAGCAAAGTGCCCACCTGCCCTCCTGGAGCTGTCACTCCATGAGGGAGACACGCTAGCCACAGTAACATACATGTGATGTGTCAGATGGGTCAGGTACTGTGGGGAAGGGCAGGGTGGAGGATGCCAGCCGGCCCGGGAGGAGCCTGTGCTGCGGTATGGGTCAGGGAAGGCTGCAGGGAGCAGACCCTGCCGGTACTCAAGGAAAGCACTCCACACGGCGGAAATAACCTGCGCAAAGGGCCCGAGGCAGGCGGCTTTCAGGGCTGCTCAGGCAGCCGGGGTGGCTGAGGCAGTGCAGGAGCCGCAGGCAGAGCCCAAGGAGGCCAGAGCTGGGACGTGCAGGGCCATGTGAGCCTCGTCCAGGCCCTCACTCCGGCTTTGCCTGAGAAGGGGGCCCTTCGTGGTTCCAAGCAGAGGAGGGACATGATCCGCCTTGGGTTTTACAAGATCCCTGTGGCTTCTGTGTTAATACACTGTATGAGGTGACAGAAGAAGCAGTAGTCCGGACGCGGGGTGCTGGCTGGGCCCGTGGTAGTGGCCTGAGCCTGGGTGGATTTTGAAAGGAGAGCTGGAACGTTTTGCTGATGGCAGGGTGTGGGGCGTGAGAGAAAGTCAAGGGTGGCCCTGCAGGAGTCCAGCCTGAGCACAGGGACCTGTTCTGGAGGCAGGTGTGGGGAATCAGCCCTGCTCAGTCTGGCTGCCGAGTGCTTAAGGGATCAGGGTTGCTCATGGGTCCTCCCTGCTGGCTCCTCCTCTGGGTACCCCTCACTACAAGCTCAGCTTGTCCAAAACGGAACTCCCCTTCCCCAGGTGTCCTGCTCAGCCCCGTCACCCAGCCACCCCGCCATCCCCAACTGCAGCCCGTTGCTACCCATCGGCCTCCCCCCGATCGCTCTATCATGCCCTTAACCCCCACCCCCAGGATTCTGCCTCACTCACTGGACTGGTGCAGCTGCTCAAGGAGGGGCCAGGGAGAGCTGATGAAGAATTAAGTGAATGAAAGTCAGCCTCCTGGGACCAGCAGGTGGCATAATGGCTATGTCACTGGACTCCCATGTGGTCGACTGCAGTTCAAGTCCTAGACCCAGTGGCTTAAACTCACACTGGACGCGTGTGCGTGCGTGCCCAAGATTCCGAGAGGAGAATGGAGGAGAAGGGATTGTGGCGTAGCCATCCCCCCTGGGGGGTGATTTCTCACTTTCTGTCTCTGTCTCTCTCTGTCTTTCTGGCGAGTGCAGGTGCCCCATAGCCAAAACCTCTCCAAAAATAAAAGTCAGTCTTCAAGTTGACTTGAATGAATGAATTGAATGAATGAATGAGCAGCCTCCTTCTGTCTTGACCAGCCTACAGGCCCTCCCAGGAGAACCTGAGCTCCTTCCCTGACTGTAAATCTTCCCAGCTCCCCAGGGCCCACAGAGAGAGAACGTGGTGACTACATAGAGGGTGTGTCATGTTTTCTTTTTTTTTCCCTCCAAAATCTTGAATTAATTAGCATATTTTACATTAACATCTGGATTTCCCACTCCTGGTAACAGACCGGAAGAACTGGCACTGCCAGGCAGGGTCTCTCCAGGGCAGCACCTGGCTGCTGGAGCAGTGGCTCCTCCTGTAGACAGCTGGGCACCCCAGTTGGCCACAGTCCCCACCTCTCCTTTGCTTTATACCCAGCCCACTTTCCTCACTTAAGTTATCTCCCTGGCCCCTGTGGTATCAGAATTGAGGGCCCTGGCCTGAGGACCAGAACGTGACACCTGGACAGTCTGTTGCCTGTCAGCCCCTGGGTGGGGCTGGCGAGGAAGGGGTGATGTAGGTGAGGTTGGACAGTTAGCTGTGGCCAAGTTGTGGGAGACCCTTGAGTGCCATTTTTAAGTTCTATCCAGAAGGTAGCTGGGAGCAAGGGAATGCGACACGGCAGGGTTCATATTTTTGGCCCAGGCCCTCTGACAGGAAAGGACCAGACAGGGGCCGGAAACCTAGGGAGGACAGCTGCTAGGAAGAATGGGATGGAAGTGGCCCGAGCCTTGCTAAGTCTGAGCCCGCTCTCTCTGTTTCAGAACCAGGCAGCAACCTTGAGCCCACGCGTGGTCATGAGGGCAGATGGGCGGTGCTGAAGACCCAGCCTGGCTCCAGCTGCTTCGAAAGGACTCCAGCCCCCCAGGACCCCGGGCCACAGCCATCTGCCACCCACAGGATGGGAGCCTGGCGGCTGGGGACCCAGCCATGAGGGACTACTGCCTCTCCCAGCAGCAGGCCAGCCGAGCATCTCCCAGGCAGCCCCCTGACCAACACCCAGGCATGGCCTCTGGACACGGCAGCCCCAGCGGGGCTGGGCCAGGGGCCTCCTGCTCTGAGGGTGCTGGCGGGAACTTGGCTCACAGTTCCCCAACCTGCGTTTCTCCCCAGCAGGCCACCAAGGGAACACTGGGGGCACACGGAGCCTTAGTTTCAGGGACACCAGGAACCACCTTGTCTGGGAAGTCAGAGCCTGCGTCCCTGGTGAGAACCGAGCCCATGCCCTCAGTGAGTAGAAACCCCATGTTGTTGGAGGAGGGTCCCAGGGCCTCGAGGCAGGCGTACTCCACACCCACAGGACAGGAAGGTGCTGGCGCCGCGGGCGAGGTGGACCCTCTCACGTTTCCAGTAGAGACAGGGCCTGCAGTTCTGGAACGAGACAGTCTGGGGACTTTGGCCTTAGATGCCACATACTCCAGCAAGGTGGAGACGTGGTCCCCGAGGAAGGAGGACCCTGGGTCTTTGACAAAGGTGGACCCTGTATTCCTAACAAAGGAGGAGCCTGGATATTCTGGAAGAGAGAACCCCGTGTCCTCAGCAAAGGTGGACCCTGCATCTGTGGGAAAGGGGGAGCCCGGGGGTTTGGGGAAGGACGGTGCTGTGTCCTTGGGGAGCACAGAGTCTGCGTCCAAGAAACATACAGACCCCGGGCTCTTGGGAGAGCTGACACCAGAGTTGTCCAGCAAGACGGAGCCCACTTCTTCCAGAACGGGGGCTCCTGGGTGTGCAGGAAGGGCAGACCCTGCCTCTACGGGGAGTGCAGAGACTGTGTCTGCTGCAAAAGGGGACTCTCGGCTCCTGGGAAAGGGGGGCTCTGCCTCCTCAGGAGACGGAGGCCCTGTGTCTCCGCGAACAACAACTGTGTCTGCTGGACAGGCAGGGCCCGGGTTCCCAGGAGGAACGGATCCCACACCTTTGAAAACTGTAGATCTTGTGTCTTCAGGCAAGGCAGATGCGGTGTCCTTGGGAAAGACCGATCCTGTGTCCTCAGGAAGGCCAGAGTCCTTGTCTCCTGGACAGGCCCACGTGTCCGTGGGAAAGACAGAAACTGTATCCTTGGGAAAAGAGGACGCATTGTCCTCCGGGAGGGCAGATCCCATGGCCCCGGGCCGGGGGAAAACATTCTCTTCTAGAGACCTGAATCCTGAGCCTTCAGGAAAGACAGACCCTGTGTGCTCCTCGGGGACAGCAGGTTCCCTCCCTACCTTGAAAGCTGTGGCGGTCCCCGGAGCGAGAGGAGCCTCACTGACCACAGAGGTGGCCGGCCCTGCCGCCTCAGGGACTGCGGAGCCTCTGGCCCTGGGCAAGGCGGACCCCACGGGCAGCGGGGAGGTAGAGACTGGCCCCTCGGGGGAGGCGGGCTCCACATCTCTAGAAAAGGCGGCGGCCCCCACGACTTCAGGAAAAACGGCCCTGGCGTCCTTGGGGAAGGCAGACCCCAAGTCCCCGCGGAAAGCAGACGCTGCCCCAGAGGGCGAGGGGGATCCTGCGGGCTCCCTACTGGGGCCCGGGGCCCCAGGGAAAGCAGAGAGGTCTGAGGGCAAAGCCGGAACAGCGCCCCCTGGGCCAGAGGGCGCCGCATCGGCAGGAAGGACCGCGGCCGCGGAGAAGGTGGATCTCGGGTCCTCAGGGAAAGCCCATCCAGTTGCTTCTGGGAAGGGACAGCCTGTGTCCTCGGAGAAGGCCGACTCTACGTCTCCCAGGAGAGCAGAGTCCCCGTCCCCGGGAAGGGTGGCCGCCTTGACCCTGGAGAAGGCCACGCCCGCCTCTTCCTCCACGCAGTCAGACGGCAAACCCTGCGACCCGGCGGGGACCCCCGAGGGTGCCAGGAGCCTCATGGACCACCGGCAGCCAGAGCCTGCGCTTAACACGGAAGCCTCCGGCCTGGGCCCGAGAGACCCGGTGGCCTCTGCGTCTGAGGGACGGCCCCATCCCGAGGACGCCGCACACCCGC